GAGCGGACCTTCGCTGGCGTGTCCAGTTCGTGGTAAATAAACCTTCCAGCCTCTTCCTGTGAGCCGGAATATTTCAAATATAAAGGTAGCACAGCGGCGCGGCGTCTAATCAGCCTTTACCCCCAGCAATAAGTGGAAACCAGTGCGGCTTATTGCACTGATTCCGTTCAAGTTTTGGTTTTGAACCCTCTTCGCCGGCCTAACCGAGTGATCTAAAATATAACCAGGCAGTGAAGGATTGGAGTATGCGCAGTGTAAGTCGGAAACTAATGTCCCTCGAACCCCCAAAACCCCGCCTTTATAGTCTACAAGCACTGTTAGCCGAGTACAGCCCATGTAAATCCAATGCATACTTGTTGATAACATTCATAGCAACCGTAAGCCCGCTGCCCGGCCATTTGCAATAAAACTGCGCACATTAGGATTTTCGAATGGGCTGACGTGCGCCCATCTCGTTGCGGGTTGGATTCTGATCACTGTAACTGTAGCTGTACAATATTGACGAGAATCTGGCCGCAGCACCAGATTGAGATGCTGCTGGCCGAGTATACGTGGTGACTTTGATGGCGGGGTCGAAGAGTGGTTTGGGTGGCAGCAAAAAAAAAGTGACCCCGACCCGACTTGAACGGATAACCTTGAGGATGTCCCAACCTGGAATCTCACGCGCTACCATTGCGCCACGGGATCATGAAGATAATGAAAATGGCAAAAGTTCCAATATGTTTTTCTTAGATAAGGAAAAGAGAGAATCGTCGAGGATGTATGCTTTCTGCTCAGTACTTGCAAAGAATCAAGAGAAATTACTCTAATATTCATTTGAAATAAGCATTTCATACTGTTCTCTATGATGCGGCATCATATCGGTAAAGCTTGGACCCTTCCCATTCCGGCTCTACTCACCTCGACTTCGTATGCTTCGTCAATATGTAGAAAGGAATTTCCTATCCCTCCCATATCTTATTCAATCTCGTTCTATTACCTCCATTCCTCCTGGGTGGACCCTGTCCTCCATCGACGACGCAAAACGATGGATTGCCAATTTCAGAGGCCACAAAGCTATCAAAAAGGAGGATATCGAGGTCACATTCGCTCGAAGTAGTGGTCCCGGTGGGCAAGTATGCATAGTCCACTCGAATCTGGAGCAGCCCATCTCAATTTTTGTTTTATCTGGCACCACTCGCTCTTGATATCGCCTATAGCATGTAAATACGACTAATTCGAAAGCTGTTGTCAAGCTACCCCTCAAGTCTCCGCAGATTCCTTCCTGGGCACGAAATGCACTTCGACAGTCGGTACGCACAATAGCGAAAACATGACTTCTAAGACCTTACAAACTGTCCAGCCGTCATATATTCGATCCTCTGACTCCCTTCAAACGTCCTCTATGACCAGCCGCACCCAAGGAGCCAACCTAGACGAGTGTCTATCAAAGGTACATAGCGAAAATAGCCGTCATTGGCTAGCTGTGTTCTAACAGTTACTTTCACCGTAGCTTCATTCCATCATTTTGAAGGCTGCCATGGAGTCTGTCCCAACTCTCCCTTCCGCAGAACAACAAGAACGCGTGAAAGAGTTTCAGAAGAAAGAACAAGTCCAGAGAAAGGAGTTTAAGATGAAGAGGAAAAATGTAAAGCGTGGAAGGAGTGCAAAGTGGGATGATTGAAATATTGACCTCCTTCATTGGAATGCCGAGATAGATATCTTTACGTGTTCTTATACGATACACACTAGTCTCTCGCGACTACTGATGCATACTGCTAAAGTTCACCGCGATTCCTTTGGGTAGACCCTCCCTGTACTCGATACTCGGGTTTCGTGCACTCTAATGCTAGCCGTGCAAAATTAAAATCATTCTTTATCCCCATTCAAATGACAACCTGTCTTTGCATGGGCACAAGGAAGCGAAGAGCGGTGGCAGCAGAATCTTCCACTTTTGACCTTTTCGACGATGATTGGCCTCAAGGGAACGGTCAATGTACGTCTACCAAAGCGGCCCAAATACGCCATCTGAAGCCATTTCGCTGACTCGAAATTTGATTTTTTCTTCCCTTGGCAGATCATCGACAACACAGGTGCTCTCGTCGTCGAATGCGTCAACATTCTTAAAAACAAGACGACAAACGGGCACGCGTCCATCGGCGACGTCTTCGTCTGCGTAGTGCAAAAAGCACGTCCGATCTCTCAATCTTCCTCTGGACCTTCCTCCTCTTCCACCCTCACTTCTCTCAAGGTCAAACGAGGGGACGTTCAAAGGGCCGTGTTGGTGAGGACGAAGAAACCGGTGATGAGACCGGATGGGACGTGGGTCAAGTTTGACGATAATGCTGCTGTACTGGTGAATAAGAAGAATGAGATGATTGGGACTAGGATTGGTGGAGTCGTGTCGAGTGATTTGAAGAGGAAAGGGTGGGGGAAAGTCGTCGCGTTGGCGCCAAAGGTTCGTTCATCCTGTCCTTTTTTGCAAGGAGATTTCTCTCTCTCTTTATGCTTTCAAAGCGTGCCAAACAATTGCTTACTTGGAAATTTCGACAGGCGATATAATCCAACAACTACTAAACCTCTTTTTTTTTTTTGATACATCGGCACACATTTAATATTCGTAACTATTTACTTTTAATGTAGAACAACGGGACGTCATACGGTATTGAAAGAAATCGCAAGTCTGGAATACCGAAAGTGATAGAGAAGAGGACTACACATTGATCGAAGTGACTGAGTATCATCCATCGTCACAAAGTAGTCGTTTGATGAGGCTCTATTATGTCCTATAGTGTTTTCGACCACAAACGACGATGCCACATGTCAATTACTTCTCGTCGCTGCAGCCTTCTAGCCTCTTCCACTTGACCACGGTCTTTGAGAGTTCTAGCGAGATTGTTCATCGCTATGAATATATGGGGATGCTGCGGTTCCAGGATCTCCGTTTGCAGGGCCAGCACCTCCCGCCATATCGTCTCTGCTTCCTCCAATTGACCACAGTCATGGGTTTTAACAGCAAAATTATTCGTCGCGGCGACTGTAGCAGGATGTCGCGGTCCCAGGATATCCGTTTGTAGGGCTAGCAACTTTCGCCGCATTGTCTCCGCCTCTTCCAGTCGACCACAGTCCTGGAATATATTAGCGAGATTATTGATCACCATAACTGTATCAGTGTGTGACGCCTGGGAGATATCGCACATGTGAGAGGGTGATTGAGTAGTCGGAGTGGAAGAATAAGTATTGTACGACGGGATTGATTTACCTTATGCCAAAACTTATTCTAGCGAGTAAACACGCGAATTGGCCAGCTGCCTGAGACTGGATGAGCACGGCCGACTCGAGGAATTCAGAGTGGATGCATGGAAGTGCACTATCGAAGAGAATTAGGTAGACAAATAAACAACAGACAGGAATAGGGTGGAATAACCGAGGCGATACAGATATGAGTGAGTAATGAGGAAGAGAGGGGCAGAAGGTCGGCATCCAACCCCTATCGGAGTTTAGAGTCGACGGCCCTTGCTTCGTTGTCTATCCTGTCGTCCCATCATCTCACCAACGCCTGTTTCCACTCAAAATTGTACCCTCTGTGGTCCTTACTACCATCCTTACCAACGGTCGATTCGCCTTTCCCTACGTTCCTCAGTCGACACTCTTACTCTTCGAATTGTCAATACCAGGAGCGGATGCTTGACGTAGAAGCTAATCAGTCAGTCAGCCGCTATCGCTGATTCTGCGAGCTAGCTACACACAGGCCCTTTGATCATCTGCCGACCAGCAGCTTAGTGTGATCATTTGCGCATGCAGTCCGCCAGTGTTATTCTTCTATATCTTATCATTCTACATGTACACTAGAAGACATAGCTATATTGTACATTATAAAAAGGACACAAAAATACATTAGAATAGTCTAACTGCGTTCATTCAAACTCGATCACAAGGATTCTTGGGTCGCGCCAAGTAATCTTTCACGTTCAAGTCGGATTGAAGAAAGGATACTCATCGAGAAGACCGTGTCAGGATGCTGCAGTCCTAGAATCTCTTGTTGCAACACTGTAGCTTCGAGTGTCATTGTTTCGGCCTGTTCCAGTTGACCACGGCGGCTGAGTGTTATAGCGAGATTGACCATCGTTTCAACTGTTTGAGGATTGCGTGGTCCAAGGATCTCCATTCGCAGGGCTAGTACCTCTCGCCTCATTGTCTCTGCCTCCTCCAGTTGGCCACGGCCGTGGAGTGTGCTAGCGAGATTGTGCATCGCCCTGACTGTATCAGGATGGCGTAGTCCAAGGATCTCTGTTCGCAGGGCTAGTACTTCTCGCCCCATCGTCTCTGCCTCCTCCAGTTGGCCACGGTCTTGGAGTGTACTAGCGAGATTGTGCATCCCATTGACTGTATCAGGATGCCGTGGTCCAAGGATCTCCGTTCGCAGGGCTAGTACCTCTCGGCCCATCGTCTCTGCCTCTTCCAGCTGACCACGGTCGTGGAGTGTGATAGCGAGATTGCTCATCGCTATGACTGTATTAGGATGCCGTGGTCCAAGGATCTCCGTTTGCAGGTCTAGTACCTCTCGCCCCATCGTCTCTGCCTCCTGCAGTTGGCCACGGTCATAGAGTGTGATAGCGAGATTGCTCATCGCCGTGACTGTATCAGGATGGCGTGGTCCGAGGATCTCCGTTCGCAGGGCTAGTACCTCTCGCCGCATCGTCTCTGCCTCTTCCAGTTGGCCACGGCCATAGAGTGTACCAGCAAGATTGCTCATCACCCCAACTGTATCAGGGTGCTTCGGACCCAATACTCTTCCAAACTCGGAGTGGCAATACTCCTCCAGCATTTGACTCAGGTTCCAACTTCCAGTCGACTCGGATACCATCAGGAATGCTAGCGAGTGAGATGGATGACTCATTTTGACTTCTGCCGGTAACTGGTCCACATGTACCAATAATTGCCGGTGCCACCCATTGCTCTCTCCTTCTAACGGCCGCACTGCTCCAAGCAGTATCTGACCTGCTGAGAGCGAATAGCGTTCTCGATCATCTTGTGCTAAAGAATCTCGGATATATGTCTGCACGAGTGGATGGACATTGTAAAAGCATTGCCCATCACTCTCGGTAGATGTGTCGATTAGCGATCCTTGAGCAATCGAGTCGATTAATGCTTGGAATGAGAGATCATCCCATTCCGACCCGAAGATGACTTTAAGACCGGATATGATCGCTTCGTCGCTGCTGGGAGGGGGACAGGATTTCCAGGCGGTGTAGGTATGAAAGCCACATGAGACCGATCTCTCGAAGAGCGCATGGGGGATAGATGAATGGTGCAGAAAAGCGCAGATCTTCATGAACTCCTGTGCTTTTCTCGACAACAGCCCAAATGAAAGGTCAAATGCGGCATATATCGACCTTTCATAGTTCGTCCCTTGTAGCGATGCTTCCCGCATCAGCTTGTCTCGATGCTTTTGCAGGGTGGCCAAGTACTTGTCTAAACGTCGCGTCCGAAAGATATAGGCCCCTGCTTGAGTGATTGCAAGAGCCCACATTCCCAGCTCTCTCACAATCGCAACTGATGCGTTGTTCGAGGAGGGGGCAACCTTGGCGACACTGTGAAGCAGATCTACCGCCTCGCTCTCCGCCATTTTCTCCACTTGGATGTGACCGTCTTGAGCGTACATAACGCAGTCACGATTTCTTGTTGTCACTAAAACTGCACCATAG